GAAATTGCAGACGTTAAGAGCACACGATAGTATTATTTTTTTTTGTTAGTAATAAATTGTAACTTTCAATCATTATATTATTTCATTTAAAAATCATCGGTAACGAACGTAACATAATATGTATATCAATGCATTTTAATATATTATCATCATGTATAAGATATATGCTAGATAAAGAAACTATTATACAGATTTCAAAATACCTGTTATGTTTATAATTTTATATACKTTTGAATAAGTACCTATATACACATATGTTATAACTCATAAGCTATTATTGTCGGGATTCTATATTTGATTTTGTCGATGAATATTCATAATAATATAATATTATATATTATGGTATACCTAGGTATYGATTGATTATATCTACAGAGATTTTGTTTTTATCTACATTTTACTATTAGATACAGTGATTTGATAATCATTATAAAAAAACCTCATCCTCAGAATTAGGAATTTCAAAACAAATATAACACTTCACGATTTATTTCATAAGCCATATTATCATCATACTCGTTCTATTGCAGACGAGCTATGTTATCGTAACGCATACTCAAATTAAATCTGTCGTGTAGGTATGTATACCGTATAGTTATACGGTAAATACCTATATATTTCAACAAAATTATTATAAAATCAAATTCGTTAATTATCCGAAAAAAATCATATACGATAACAACACGTTTTTTTCCCGAACTACGTGTTGAAATTGAAACGCATAATATGCTTATGTAACTGCGCGCGTTAAAGTCACCCGCGCCATTGGTCATCGCCAATGTATTATAATGTTTACAAAATAGTCGACGATCACATCGCTGTATGAAACATTGGTAAATTATAATTTATAAAGTACCAATAATAGTCCAACACGAACGTATTTCTCGAATATTTCGGTCATTGTAAAATAAATAATTTACGCAAAAAACATTACCTGGGCAATGAATTTAAATATCTTATAGATAGGAACTTACACTAAAAAATCTTTGAATATAAGTGCGCTCTAATATGTATACCTAGAATATTAATATACATATAAGATTATACATGTAAAAATGAATTGAAAAAATATATTATGCCCTTAAATTCCCAAAATATAAGAGTTTCTTATTTGCAACAATGGTAATGTTAAAACAATTAGGTACCTACTCATCAAGTTATCGATTTCGAAATAAATATAAATAAAACATTCAAATTGTATTAGACCCACAGTTATTAATCTGTATTATGTTATATAGTTCAAACGCGTTACGCTCGTTGAACACGTTCCAATCACGAAATTATATAGTAACCAATATTATAATAGTAGCTCTTACAATTATATTACACTTATTACTTATGTTAATATTAATTAGATACCTACGCTATTATATACTACTGTTTATGCTCGTGAATCGACGCGGTCCTATATACCTTCCGTCACTAATCGTAGAACCAAAAAATAATAATTGCCAAACACAACCACCGCATATTATTATTACTATAACCATGTCGTATTAATTTCGTTTTATTATCATATCGTGAACGTGGGCGCTCCGATAGTTTAAACATAGGCTAGTTGTACAGAACRATTATAAAAATAAAATATAAATCATATATTATACGAGCGTCCACAGTATTATAATATTATTATGTAGCGTCATTAGACACGGCGGCAACGCGAGGCTATAGCACGGGTGAAAGTGCATCTGTGACGGTGGCAAACTGCAGATATTGCGGTAATAGTTAATATAGTTATAGGCTTATATATATAGCTGTGTATTTGCTGTATGCATGTATTATGATAATTAATATATGTTCGCGGATAGACCATGACACACGTGCGTGGTGTGCGCTYGTACGTGAAACATCATCCATTAAAGCCAAAAAACAACAAAATCAAATCCCTCATGCGATCGAGTTTACGACGAACATACGAACTGTCAAACTTTGCACATCCAAAAATACATTGACCATATTATGATATTATGAGCTGCACAATATACAATATACAGCTGTGGATTATATAATGTACTCGGGAACCGTGTGTGCAGTGCGCTGCATTTGGGTTTTCGCGGATCTGCTAACGAACTGCAGGTGCAATAGTTTTCGATTCCGGTGACGACTATAGACTTGATAATTTATTTTCGTTTGATCCTGTGCTTTTGAACTATAATACATTAATGCGACAATGTCGTCGCGGTCAATGTGGCACACGATCGATCG